CCAATTGCTAGATCACTCCATATGTCAGTACGTGAAATAATGTCGTGATCAAACTTTGCCTCATATATATACACCTAGATAAGACAACCAGATTGCCTGACACAAAGCAAAGAGGCCATGCATTCTTACCTGATGAAGAAGCTCTTTGCGGAAACTTCGAACCCGTCACCCCAAGTGTTGACGTATAAATGCATAGTACACCTTTCCCCATAAGCTTGAGCTTTTGGGTGAATTGGCTAGTGCATGCAGTTCTACATGGTATCAGAGCCAAGAGGTCTTGAGTTCAAGACCAAGTTAGCGCAATTAAATTGCAGCCCACTTTTGGTCCATGTTTAGGCCTGACGAAGCAACACGTGAGGGGGAATGTTGACATATAAATGCATAGCCCACCTTTGCTCATAAACTTGAGCTTTCGTGTGAATTGGCTAGTGCGTGCAGTTCTACACCAAGAAACCCGACTGGGACAAGGAAGATGAATAGATGCAAGAAACCGATTGGGACAAGGAAGATGAATAGATGGTCACATGTAAATTAGCATGAAATGAAATGACCTGTCACTAATTTGTTATTTTTTTCTTTTTGCCATCATCTGGCACCAATATATTAGTCAGTACTAGTCATACTAATCTCTACTATTAAAGGGGAATCTATTATCGTTGTGATGGTTCAACCATCCTCCCGCAGCTCCTGCCATCCTCCACACAAAAAAGTAGGATGCTAAACAAACCCATGCACACATGATCCCCTCCTGCGAGGCTCCCACGATCGCCTGCCAAGTGAGCCTGCTAGTCTCAGCAACCCCTTTCCACCCACCTTCTCTTCTCCTGCCACATTTGATCTTCGGTTTCATCTTGATGCTCCCCCCACCCATGGCCTGTCCGGAGGAGGAAGTGCATAGAGGGAGGGAGGAAGAGTAGGTAGAGGGCGCCGACTAAAACACGACCTCCTCAAGCGCGCGTCAGGCATGGCATCATAGGCATCCGCCAGCTCCTCCACATGGTCCAAGCCCTACAGGTCGCCATTCGTTGAGCGCCTCATGGCCGCAGCGGCCACCATGCCCTGGGAGTGCTCAAGCATGCAGGAGCCCGATCTCCGGGCGGTAGCGGTTGTCTTTGGCCATTAGGGATAATCCGCCAATGATGACGTCGCCGAGGCAGATGACATGGAACCAGGGGCCCTGTCATCCGGTGTCCTAGAGATGGTATGCAACCATGTTGCACACCGTGCATGTTCTTCGGCATGCTCAAATGCCCTCCCGCTATCACTGCCTCCACTTTCAGTGCTGCCACGCACGCTCCGCACCAGTGTGTCTCTCCATCGCCTCTCTGCAAGTCGGCGTTGGGCGCCCCTATTCTCAAGATGAGCTGGAAACCTTTCCCCTTGACGATTATAGGTTCATGCCTTGACTTAGCAAGACGATATTCAGCACACTTGGGTGTCCATTCATTCATCTTGCTCTTGCAGGTGATGGTAATCGCCAACTCATATTAGCAATGTTGTTCTTTTTTGCTTTACTAGTGAATATAAATTTCCTTAGTGATTACGCATTAGCTCAATTTGATGGATCTTTTAGAACCTGTTGTACACAAGAAAACAAAAGTGCAAGAGGAAAATGGAGTTGATTGAAACCTGAACTCAAGGTAAGTGTGGTGTCAGTACACATGGATTCTAGCATATCCATGGAAATAAATCATGGTTGGGTAGACATTCCAATTTTCAAAAGCCTTGCTCATGTATGAAGCAAGATTCTAGGGTGGATTGTAGATTGTATGGTGTGGGTCCAAAGCTGAACTACTTAAACTCAAATTCCCTTGTAATGGAGTACATCTAAACCTACTGAAATTTGCCTTGTTTAAAATTTTCATGATGAATATTTTCTGAACGTACAGTATCGTTGAGCTTAAGCGGAGGAACTCAATGGAGCAGAATGGATATGGAGAAAGAAGCCAAAAAGGAGAAGTCATCTCACAATAAGCATAAGAAAAACATTTGTAAGGTTCAATTAAATCTTGATTCCTAACTAGCATCCTTACATATTGTTGCCGTATGTGAAATTGAAGACTTTCAAGCTGAACATGTCCACTAGCAGTGCATCGAGATGGTTTTACACTTGACACATTTAAGCGATTCTTGGATTGTAAGTTTGTTGTGGTGTGAGTGCTTCTTACATGAGTCATACTAGGCATCGATAATTGGTGGCACATATTCCCTATCCCATTTCTTTTTACATTGATGTTTTTATACTTGCAAAATGTGCAACATTTATCATGATTTGCAGATAGAATAGTATTCCATTCATAAAATTATATTTCCTTAGTGCTAGTCTTGGAAGATATGTTAACAACATTATGTTCTCTTATAATTTATCTTGAAATTTTCATTTCATAAGTTCTCTTTTGAAACATTTATGTTAATCCATGGGTCCTAGAAGATACTTTACCCATGGAATTGGTGAGTTCAGAAGAGATTGGATAGGGCTTTATTTCGGGTCATGAGTAACCAATGCTTAATTTGGGGTTGGTCGGGATTAATCCTTGGCCGAGCTGACCCTCAAAGAATGGTGTGACCCACGCCAGGATGGTGCTAATAGAGGCGTAATTGCACTTTTTTGAGTATGACTTTTGAATTAGTTGTGTTATATGTATGCTTGATTAACTATTAAGTTTATACTACCGGACATGTGCATTGCACGACTTTATGTACTATTTCCTACTAGTCTTTTTTTTTTGAGAAATACTATTTCCTACTAGTCGAAGGCACGTGCTTTGCACGTGTACATTCTTAATAAAAAGATTCACACAAAAAGCAGATTTTCAATACAAACTGAGCACCTTTTATATGGATTGTTTTAGCTTTGCAACCTGTACCAAGTTATGATGTCTTGATAATTTTTCATTTTCTCAAATTGCCAAAATATGTCAAGAAATGTTGGTTAGTGCATGCTCTCTCTGTAAAGAAATATAAGACTTTTTAGACTTATATTTCTTTACGGAGGAAGCACTACTTCACAAACCTGCATTCAATATTCACAAAATGGTAGTTCACGTCATGGAATCATATTTTGCTGAGAAAATGATCATCTCTATGCATTCTACATCACCTGGGCGTAGATGGAATACAGCCGGAGGCTAGGCAAGATATTAAAGGGTCGTATATCCAGAAAGAATTGCGCAAAAAATGGATATATATGAAAATACATAATGGAACCTGGTTATAGGTGCGCCCTAATTAAAAAATATTCAAAAAGGTAAACAATTCTAAAACTTGTTTTAACGAATATGGTCTAGTGTTATATTCATGTGTATAGGTTCGAGAAGAAATGATTTTTATGATCCTCTGTTAAAAAAATATTTCTATATATAAAACTTACAATCTGATTTTCTCTTTTAAAAATAGATTACTTACTATTTGTATATTTTTTTCCTTTTACAAAAATACCATTCAACTTTGTAAGTTGCAAATTTATTTTCTAGCCTAGATGAACACCATAGTCATTTCTTCATTAAACTTCGTACGTGAGTAGAGCACTCAATCATATTTGCAAAGAGAACATTTTCTGATTCTTCTTCTTGATATTATTTTTTTAATGTTATATAGGCTGCGTCTAGAACCTTGTCCCAAAAATCTTCACCGACATGTATCCATATATACACATTTTTTTTGGAAAGTCCATATATATACATGTATATGCATGGTAGTAGCTTTTTTGTATTATCTTTTTTTTTGGAGAAAAGCTTTTTTGTATTATCTAATACTCGTGAAAAGCGTGTCAAATAGTCATTCACCTTTCCGCCTGGACTGAACTACGAAATTTGGTTGACACTCGGCCATACGGGCCACTAAGCCTGCCATTAGGCAGCTATAGCCACTGTAAAAAAAAGCAGAGCGTCAGCACACCACCACGCCCTTCATCAGATCCCGTTCCTTTTCCTCAAAAGAATAAAAGAATCAGATCCCCATTCCTGCCTTCCCCCGTAGACGCAGCGCATGCATCCCGTTCCTCAGCAGCCAGACGCCCCACGTCTCCACACCGAATGGGCTCAGCAATCAATTTTCTCCATGCATCCAGTCAGGACCAGGAGGCGACCATGGGTTGTGGAGTCTTCCAGAAGGCCCGAGTGTTTGTAGGTTGGCAGGAGAAACGTGAGTGGCGAATCCATGCGCTCTGAGCCGTTCGATCCAATAGATCCGACGGCTACAAATGACTTCATGTTGGAAGAGGCGGGCAGAACAGATGAGATGAGAGTAGATTCAAATATTCAAAAAAATATGAACTATAGTAGTAGAGATTTTACAGATTGATTGATATATTGTGATCAGTAGAATCAGACACATAATATTTATAGTAAATGGGATATGTGTTTGATTTTCTCAACTACTTATTAATTCAAATTAGGACAAGTGTACCCCATTGAAAGATCAATACACCATTGAATGCCATGCTTTTAAAAAATAGTGTTATCAAGCTAAAGGAGACTGTGCACCCTCTTTCTATGACTTTAAGGTGAAGGAGAATATTGTGATATCAAATAATTGTTCACCTATTGTTAATGAAATTGCTCAAATGTAATTGTTGATATGGATACTGTGTGAAGTTTGTGTGTGAATTAAGTACTATCAGATGGATGGAGCTCCTTATGTTGACCATACTGCAATTAATGCATAATGCAAGCCATGACTTCACTTTTTAAACTACTTATTCATGTCACTTAATTGATTGGTTGTTCATTTAGCAGTATTGTCATCCGTAGCAACGGACGGGCATTCAACTAGTCTTTGTAGCCGGTTTAAAACAATGTCTGGAAATGTATGAGGAAACTGAATAAAAAATGAATTTTTTCAGGGTTTTTTTTCTTGAGTGAGCGGGGGCCCAACACCACCACTTTGGCAGTGAAGGCCCAGTGCCACAACCACAGGTGAACTCAGTGCTACAACTCCGCTTACGCTAAAAAAAACTCCAACTCCGCTTCCCGTCCGTGTGTGGCGAGGACGGCGCCCAAATGAACGCAAGCGAGGACGGCGCCCGCCGCCGCCGCCGTTCCCAAACCCACGACGAGGCAGACGGAGTGGCCCGCCTCCATCCTCAGGTTCACGCGGGCGAGGAGGGAGCGGGAGTGGCTCGCGGGCGCCGTACGCGCCCCCGCGCCCGCCCTCGTTCCCAGATCCACGCGACCGGCGAGGGCGCCGGAGTGATCTGTTGCGTCAGCATTCCGGCGGCGCTGGCCTCGCCGTTCGAAGACGACGACCTCCTGAGGGAGATTCTCCTCCGTCTCCCGCCGCAGCCCTCCTCGCTACTCCGGGCCTCCGCCGTCTGCAAGCAGTGGCGATGCGCCGCCACCGACCCCAAGTTTCTCCACCGCTTCCGCACGCACCACCGGAAGCCGCCCCTCCTCGGCGTCTTTCACGTGCGCAACAGGGATGATATCGTCTTCACCCCAATACTGGACGCACCCGACCGCATCCCTCCTCAGCGATTCGACCTTATTAGCAGCACGGAGGTGGTGCTCTTACTGCTCGATTGTCGCCACGGTCGCGTCCTTCTCATTGACGTGAAGCGGGATGAGGCCATCGTGTCCACCCCCATCACCGGCGAGCAGCGCCACCTGCCAATTCCGTCGGAGTTCGAATTCACCGATGATGTCAACGGGGCTGTGCTCTGCGCTGCCAGCGACCATGACCATGTGCACGGAAGCTGCCACTCGAGCCCCTTCAAGGTAGTGTTGATCTCCGATGTTGGAGAGGATAATCGATTCTTTGCTTGTGTTTACTCCTCGGAGACTGGAGTATGGAGTGATATCATCTCAACAGCCGTTCCACCTGTAACTTTTTGTGCTGATACCCCTGGGGTGCTTGTTGGTAATGCACTTTACTGGTTGATGGATTTTATGACCGATGACATACTTGAGTTTGATTTGGATCAGCAGAGCCTAGCTGTGATCAAGGGGCCTCCCATTACAGATGATTTCCGCCATGCCAGCCATTGGATCGTCCAGGCTGAGGATGGTGCTGTTGGCTTCGCCATATTGACTTGCAGTCACTTACAAATGTGGCAGAGGATTATAAATGTCCATGGTGTTGCCACATGGGTGTTATGGAAGACCATTGACATGCATACCATTCATGGGCTCCCTCCCCAGATTGAAGGAGAGAAGACACACATGATACGTATAGCGGGATGCATTGAGGATACTGATGGTATATATCTATTTGTAGGCTGTGATGTCTATATGGTTCAACTTAATTCGATGCAGTCTAGGAAACTTTGTGAAAACCGTGGTTATACTTACTATCATTCGTTCAAGAGTTTCTATCCGCCAGGTGATTGTTCATCCTTAGTCATCATATTGCAGGAGTAACTTAATCTTCTTGTTGTGTTATGTACATGTATGTTCGAATACCTTCGTTGTGATTCTCAAGTGTTCAAACTTATAGCCATATTGTGTAGTACTCCCTCCGTCCCATTAGTATCAAAAAGTGTCTTACATTATGGGACGGAGGGAGTATATGTTATCATTCAATATAGTCATCTTCACTCTTCACTATTCGTTTGCTAGATAGACGAGCTTATAGCCTTCTGCGTTGTCGTTCAGTTTAATTGTCTTCATATATAGGAGATAACAAATCAAATAACAAGTGAGTAATAATGTGAAATAAAATGTCAAATGGTTAACTCATTCGGCATGTTTTTAACCCCAGCTGGCTATATTCTTCTATCCAATACTTTTAATCGTGCTAACTCCATAGAAGATTTTTCATCCAAACTGTTTCCGAAATAATAGTTTTCATTTTCACTTATTCAAGACTATCTTGCATGTAACACACCTTTTATTTAACCTGAAGCCCAAGATCACTTATTCTGGTTGAGTACTAGAGTTTTCGCTTCTTGACATCGGGAGGGATGAGTTAAATGAGATAAATGCTAGACCATGTCTTGCTTTCTTATAAGCTAAATTCTTCATTATGAGGTTGATATGCATACTGCTTTCAACAGTATTCCTTGCAAAATGCAACATATGTGTTTTTTATCTGGTACCATCATCAGTAGTGAGCTATAAACATAAAAGAGTTAATTTCTCTTCTTATATTTATGAATTCACCTATGTAACAGACGCACTGTTGCCTTCTAATATCCATATGTCTATTTCTTAAAACTTTATTAAATGTCTGCCTTGCGTTTCTAGGCACAACCATTGCTGGTGCATGCGATGGAGCTGAAATGTTGCACGATACATAGGATGACTGTCTGGTTTGATGTTCTAATGTGCTGAAACGGTTCAGCAGGTAAGAAAATCATCTGAATATAGTTTGTAAGATTTGAACTGTTTGATTTTCTCTTTGGAAAATATCTAGCGGCCATTGTGGGTAGCATGCACCCTCAAACTGCTATCCTTTTGGCTATAGGGATGGACACATGCTAGTAACAAAGACAAACTATTAAAATGCTGGTGATGCTAAGGAAAAAGATGAGTCCTTTATTGGACCATAAATGATATGCAAATAATCCAAATGTTATATTCCCAGAGTTCTCCCTTAGTTTAGCTGTTTCATAATCTATAGTTTGAAAGCAACATATTAGTAGCATGAGATCGTTATGGGCATTATATGGCTCTTATTTATGTTGCTGAGCTGATGATGAGTTCACATACCTTGTTTATACACTGTTACATACTCCTAGGTGCTACTATTAGGTTATGTATGTATGTATCAAGTTAGTGACAGATTAGTGCTTTTTCCCCAGGTGAAGAAGGGCTGCTGCACTTGTTAGTTGACACTGAATTTGTCGCATTGCATCAATGTCGTCAGCAGTGTCTATATGTTATCTAAAACGACTTACCGTGCCTTAGTCTAGCCAAGTCTCTATTAGCAAGATGCTTTTGAATGCCTGATCCAGTGAATTTCAGCTTAACCCAGTATTATTTCAGGCTGGATTTCGTCGTCTCTTGTTTTTGTTATGTATTTGTGCCTGACAGCTCTTCTCCTGAGCCATGATAGTTTCAGTCCCATGTATTACCAAAACTTGTGTGTTTGAGTGTACTTGTCAGCTGTGGTTTGAAAAGCATGTCATTGCCATCGATTAAATATGATCATGATCTACCATGATCTGCCCATGCTGTTTTGTCCCGAGTGAGAATGAGTTTTGCTTTGCTGCAGCTTGTGCAATATTTACCTTTTAATGGTTCAGACGAGCCAGAGTACTCATAATTAACTCAACTGTTTGCGGCTGAAGGTATGGGACCTGATGATAACCATACTTGAAACCATAGTAACTGGGCAGCTGGAGGTTGCATTCTTACCCTGGGAGGGTTTGATATTGCATTTGTCTGTTAATCATTCTCTGCTGGACTTCTCAGTGATTTCAACATTTTTTATACTACTGAAGTTAACGCATATTAAATCAGGAATGCAGTAGAACCGAATGTAATTCTTTAGATGGATCAATCTCTGATTATCTCCCAGGTGTCTGTTTCGCTCCTTGCTTAATCGATCCAGACTTGTGTATGATGGAAACATTATATTATGCTAGATCGTGCTGGGAGTTGGTTGCACGATGAAAAGAAGTACAGGTCTGCCTGGGAGTTGGTTGTAGGTCTGCCTTGGAGTTGGTTTTAGGTCTGCTTGGGAGTAGAGGTTGCAGGATATATATTGTGCGGCAGGCGGGCGCGCGACGGCTGCTACTCGTTGAAGGTGTATATCTATTCTTATATGCTCCCTGGTACTTGGAAATCGGAATTGTGTCCAGCGTTCTCATTTTGATTTAATGCTGCCCTCGCCATTAATTCCTGAAGAGCTTAAAAACCCACCCACTAATGTAAACATCAACGAGGATGCCAAGCTGACTCCGGCGCAATCTGAAAGATTCCTTTTCTGAAAAAACTTGGAAAAGAAGGTGATTGTTCAAATAGGAGTCTTATGTAGCTCAGTTAGGCTCACGTGCAACTCAAGGCTTCCACATTGCTTGCTGACTACAAGAAACTACATTGTCTTTTTCATACCATAGTTATCTTTTTGAGGGGCAATTGACAGATGCTCAGTCAGCTACCTTCTTGTTCTGCCTTTGAGCTTTTGTTTTTATGACAACTGTTGTAAAGTAAAACTTGATAGAAGCTTGGATGTTGTAAACCCGGGTAAGAGGGAATATTTTGTGGTTTGGGGTTGTCTTTTCTGAAAGTGTATCCACTTGTACTGTATTTGGCACTACATCATACAAAATTGAGATATATCCTTTGGGTCCAAACTTTGTTTTCTGTTGTAATAGAACATTCCGTGGCATTCTCTATAAGCAGGTAGGTATAATATTCATAGGCGTGGACGAGCTCGCCTGGTCACGTAATTGCGAGATATGCGACGCATGCGGTATTTTAAGGCATGTACGCTGGCTCATTTAACGCGTATTGTGGATGGGAGGAGTAGACGTTCGTATGGTGCGTGCCAACGATGGCAAATACTACTCCCTCCGTTCGGAATTACTTGTCTTGAAAATGGATGTATCTAGAACTAAAATACATCTAGATACATCCATTTCTACGACAAGTAATTCTGAACAGAGGGAGTAGATCCTATCGGCGGCTCACGGCCTCATGGCCGCTCAACATCGATGGTGAGGACAGCTCAGGTGACAAGTAGATCCGGGTCGATCCCTACTATGTCTTCGACCGGTACTTCCACGGGCACCAAGGAAGAGCAAGAGCAGCCATGGATGATCTTCTCCACCATAGCCAAACATGCCAAATTTTGATAGTCCGATGGCAATGTTGTAGTAGTCGAGCGATATAGCATCGTTTACATAGTTGCATGGGTTTGCATGGATTTGAGATATGCTAATTGAGGTGTCCGGTCGTAAGATGAGTAATTTGAGGCTTGACCGGTCAGTGTCCGCATGCGTGTCCACGAGCGTTTGAGAAGGTCGAATTTACAAGTCCGGTTGTTGATGCTCTAAGGGTATGTTTGGTAGCATGTATGGATCTAGCCTAGTTGTCCTCCTCTGATACATGTTGAGTCCATGCATTTGCTGTTGTTGGGCAGCGGTGTATGCGCTGAGACTTTATTTGGCAGCCTGCATGTGTTTGGAAATACTGAACACATTCACATTTTGAATATTTTTTTGAATGGTGTACAAAATTGAAAAAATGCGAACAAAAATGTAAATATATTTTGAAATTCTGAACTTCTATTAAAAATTTAAACAAAATTTTAAATTCTATTTTTTTGGAAATTTTGAACATTTTTAAAATTCTGAACATTCTTGAAAATTTAATCAAAAATTAAAGTTCTGAATATTTTTTGAAAATTTAAATAAATTTGAAATTCTGAACATTTTCGAATTTTCCTTTTTTTGAAATTCTGAAATATTTTGATTTTTTTCTTTTTTGAAATTCTGAATATTTTTTTGAATTTTTTTTAAAAAATTATATATATTTTTTGAAAATTTAAAAATGTCTTGGCGTGGCCTGGTGGGTGAGGACGAGGGTCGGGGTGAGCATGGCTACCTCCATGCACCCTCTCTATGAGCATGATGAGGACCCTTTTTTGCATCAGATGGGCATAACCCAGATGAACCCGTGCACCTTATCAAACAAGCAAAAATGAATTAGAGTGAGGGCTTTTACCCTCATACACCTTGTCAATCAAACCCTAAAGAAGCGGTGGCACGCACACAAAAGGCAGATACGGCAGCTCAGCTTGTGCCTCCCAAGGAGGCAAAGGAAAGCCATAGGCATGGATGGATGGTGCCGCTGCCCACACGCACGCACGTACGGCTATTTTCGCTCCACACCAACGTCACTGCTTTGCTATTTTCGCTCCCCGCCGCATCGTTTGATTCCCGGCAAGCCAAGTCTGCCTCACTAATTAAGCATCAGCCTTTCTTTCTTGGGGAACAAGATGGATCCTTGAAGCGGCGAGAGCATCGAACGCTGATTAACTACTCCTGCTGTCTCTGTCAGATGCTGCTATCTCGTTTTCTAGATGAATGAATTGCCCTATGCAAAGGGTATCCCGTTCCCATTTTTTTCTCTTCAAAAAGATCAACAGTTGGACCCTGGCCTGACACGTTTTAGCTTGCATCGCCTCTTATGTCACAATCACAAGCAGCTGATATTTATGTTGTACTACTACTTGGAGTCCTATCTCGCGGTCAGCTCCCTTGTATACGTAGTATACTGTAACAAACAGAAACAAAAATCTAATCTCGGCTGCAGTATCGAACAAGAAGGCAGTTCATCACCCGGAAACAAACAACTTTCTTTTTTGGCGATCATCGGAAACAAGTTCGTCCACATCCTGAATCTGGTCGATGAGAGACTCCACGCCAGCCTCTCCGAACGGGTCGGTGACGGCCGGGCCCGGACCCAGCCGGTAAACTCGGTCTTATCCAGCGGGAAGAGCCCACGCAGCACACTACCCACCCCCCCGGCAATCCCGTGAGCGCGTCGTCGGTCGAGCGAAACCGCAGCCGCATCTCGTTTCCTTTCTCCCCCTCGTCTCGCCCCGGTAAAAAAACCAGGCTCCCCCTTCCCCCCCACCCTCGCCGCCGCGGCG